GCTCGGCACGGCTCGGCACGGCTCAGCACGGCTCGGCTCAGCCGGCGCCGCTGGCCCCGCTGGCTGCGCGGGCCCGCCGAGGAATCCCAGGAATGAGGGAATTCTGCGGCGAGCAGGTGGGGAGCGCCGCCCGCCCCCATTGGCCGGCCGGCCGTGACGTCAGCGCAATTAGGGTAATGAGGCGCTGGCGTCACATCCTCGCAGGTAGGGAGCGCGCGGGCCCCGCCCCCGGGAGGAGGGACACAGGGCCGCAGGGTCGCGGGTTCGAGCCCCGGGACGGCCGGGAGCGACACCGGGGACAGGAGAGCACGGGCGGGGACAACGCCGCTTCTCTGTCCCCCTGCTCTAACCCTGAACCTTTTCCTTCCCCCAGCAGGAAAAACTACAGGGAAACAGCACCAAACTGAACCTCCGGGAAAACAACAAGAAACCCTCTCTCAAGAGCAAAGCGCTTCTCAAAAGCAGAACCGCGCGTTCCGAGTCACAGCGGCTCGGTGTCCCCAGGCGCGAGTGACGAGTTTCAGAGCTGCTGCGAGCGGATGGGGCTCACATCCCCGTCCTCCGCGCGATGTGACGGGAATTGCCGGGCGCAGCTTTCCTGTTTACTGCTCGCTCTGCAGCGGGGTTTCACCGAATCGCTGCTCCCGACGTGACTCACCCGGCCTGGGAGGAGCTGCCGGCAGCCGGGCTTGGGTGAGAGCGCAGCTGAGCCCTCCCGGTCACCGACGTGCAGGGCCGGAGCTCCCCGGCCCCGCTGCCCAAGCCGCGGTGTTCCATTTCCATCCGTGCCGCACACCGCGCTGCTGGGCAAGGATGGCGCCCGTTCCCACCGTGCCAGCACAGCCCCGGGCATTCCCATGCCAAGGTGCCATTTCCAGCAATTCAGGGGCAAGTCCTGCTAAAAGTCTGGCTGGTTTTAGCAAAGTTACAAATCAAGCTGTCGGGCAGCTTGTGCATCTCCGGAGCCACTTCCCCAAAGCCAAGGCCGGGTTTCTCCAAGGTGCCCTGAAGAACCTGCGAGTGCTGCTCCCAGAAATTATTCCAGAGCAGGAGAGGATGTGGGGAAGTGCTGCAGTGATCTCCTGGTGGCCACACTGACATCAGTCACCAAACAGTCCCAGAACGGGACATTTTATCCTCACGTGGCCTCAGGCAGCTCTTGGAGTGCATTGCAAAGGCAAAGAAAAGGACAATAAATCAACCTGAGCCCCTTGAGGAGCCTTGGGGTTTGTGGTGGAACCCAGAAAGAGCACAGGGCAGCAGAAACACAGAGTGTTTCTATGGAATTCTGCTCAGGGCGTTCCTCCCGTGCAGCTCCTCCTCCCTCGCTGTGACAATAAACGCACCGATGAATAAATAAATCAACAAATAAACAAACAAAAGCTGGGATTTGTGCAGGAAATGGTGCAGGGAGCAGGGCTGGAGAGCCAGGGCTGTGGGAGGTGCGGGGCAGGGAGCGGCCGGGGTGACCCCACACACCCTGCGCTCGGATTCCTGCAGAGCCCAGACCCGGCAAGGCTCCGTGCTCTCCAGCTCCCACCTAAAAGTCCATCGAAATCATGCTGACACTGAAGTATTTTCATATCCTCGCAAGGACAGGTCATGAGATCTCCGGGCCACCAAAAGCTGGCCAAAAGCACATTCCAAACCTAAATTAAATCCAGATTTAGACTCCACACACTCAGGATATCAAATAGGAAGGCTTCAGTTGATAAAACAAATTAAATGCATGCAGCATCAGAACAACCATGAGCATAATTTTACACATGTTGCAAAACCTTCATCTGTAACATGTATAACAATAAAAATTTAAAAATGACATTGTGTTAATAGACTACTGGAGATTATTTTCATTGCCAGCAGGCAAGAAGAGGAGTTTGATGATCTAATATTTGGGGAAAAAAGTAGTCAAAACAGTAATGTAAAACTAGTTTGAGAAAACAAGATACTGGACAAGAAAAACACGATGAAATATGGAAAACAAAACCACAGGCACCGAGAAAAGATCTGAACCAGACATTGGTACATATCACAAGAATTAATTGCTGCAGACTAATTACAAGTCTTTTCAATATGTATCTCTGAGAAGAAAGTCTGCCACTCCTGTTTCTAAGTGCTGGAGGGAAGAGGTGGGAAGGGTTTCTTTGTTTAAGCAGACAGAGCTCCTGGGATGAGGAGGAGCTTGAGAAAGGAGAGGTCAAAACAGCTTTTGATCCTTTGCAGCTCCCAGCAGAAGTTTTAGAACAGGATATTTCTGAAACATCTCAGGAGCCTGAGGAGCATCAGCTGGCTGGGAACAGTGACCTCGAGCATTCCCTACAGACACACTTCCACTGCAGGGAGGTGACAACATCTGTAAAAAACAAACCAAAAAAAAAATGAAGTGCAACTTGTTGGGAATCTTGGAAAACAGATCTTAGCACAAAAAACCTTGTTGGGGCTGCTGAACTCAACACATGCTGCTCAGCAGCAAATTCACACATACCCAGCCTTGGGTGATGAGCTGTATTTTGTTTTGCTTGGGTGGTAAAATTTGGTTTTCATTTAGCAGGAACTTTCTAACCCAATGGTATCAAAGGCTCTTTGCTGACTCAGATATCAGCAAAAATTTACTTTGCTGAAACCCAAAACTCACCAAGATAGCTGAGGGTTTGTGGCTGAACTCAAATAAAAGCTGTGCTTCAGCACCCAGGTGAGGCACCCAAGGTAGGATGCAAATCCTGGGATGCCACTCCTGTTCCAAATGTAATTAAACACCAAAAATTAATCACATTCTTCATGAAGTATGGCCAATGCAAGAGAAGGTTTAACCCCTGTGTGAGGGAGCTGGGATTGTGGCTGGCCGTGGATCTCAGCTGCCTCAGGACCATGTTTTAAGACTTTTTTTTTTTTTTCAGTATAGAGGCAGAAAGGTCCTGATACCAGAGGGCAAATCCCATATTCTAGCAAACTGCAGTCTGCAGGGAGATCCCATGGCCTATCTCTCTAGAAGGAGACTCAGGGGTGACCTTATCACTCCACAGCTCCTGAAAGGTGCCTGTGCTCAGCTGGGGCTGGGCTCTTTCTCCAGCAGCTCTGACAGAACCAGAGGACACAGCCTCAAGCTGTGCCAAGGGAAATGTAGGTTGGATATCAGGAAAAAGTTTTGCACAGAAATGATAATAAAGTTCTGGAATGGCTGCCTGGGGAGGTGGTGCAGTCACCATCCCTGGGTGTGTTTAACAAAGCCTGGATGTGGCACTGGGTGCCAGGGTTGAGTTGAGCTGTTGGGGCTGGGCTGGACTCCGTGATCTTGAAGGTCTCTTCCAACCCAGAGATTCAGTGAATTCTGTAATCCTACAGCCCCTACTCAGCCATTAATCCTGTAATTCTGATTGGAATTGCCTGACATCTGTTCCATGACCAACCAAGAAAACGAAGCATTTCCACTATAATAAGAGTTGGTTAAAACTGCCCTGGGCAAGTTTCTCCCCCCACATGGCCCCAGCAGTGGCACACCTCACTTTTGGGACAGACTGCAGTGCTCCCCACCACAGGGCCCAAACCTGGCCTGCTGAACTATTTCTGAGTGATTTCAGTGATTTCTAAGAGCAGCAGCAGGGGCAAGGGTTGTGTGGCTTCATTCAACAGTGCAAGCGCAGAGCTGCAAAAAGCTCTGTTTTCCTTAGGTGCACATCTAAGGAAGGAATTTGCCAGCTGGCATCACTGCATGTAAAAAAAAAAAGGAATTTATGGAAGTTCTCCCAGTTTCTTACTGCCATCCCATTTTGGTTTTCAAACAGCACCAATACAGACCATCTAAGGAAGGCATTTCCCAGCTGGCATCACTGCATGTAAGAAAAAAAAAGGAATTTATGGAAGTTCTTCCGGTTTCTTACTGCCATCCCATTTTGGTTTTCAAACAGCACCAATACAGACACTTCTTTTCCATCAGCCAGGAATGCCTGAAGTTCCCTGGACTCTGCAGGGAAGCTCAGCATGGACCAAACTCTGCACAAAGACGATGGAGCTGGTGCCAAAAGCAAACATTTTCTCCATTATTTGTCACAGGTTTAATGAGGCATGACAGTGCTTTGCCATCTCTGTCAGTCCAATTACAGTGCAAGCTTCCATCTATCCACACTTTCTTTCATAAAACAGGTTAATTTTACACCAAGTGACAGCAGCTTTTGGAATCAATCTCAAAGCACGTTTTAGCACACACAAATTGTGTGGCCTCAGAAGCAAACATCTTTTCAGCAATGAAAAACTCCTAAAATCTGATTCTAAAACTCTTCCTTGCAAAAATCCACATCCAGCTGCACTGCAGCTCAAAGCTGCCTTATATAAAAGCACACCCAAAATTCAAAATACGTAAGATCTAATTTTTTTTGAAGGTAGTTTATTATTCATTACACCACAATGTGTTAAATTGCAGTAATTCCAGCCAGACAAGTTGATCCAAACTGTAAGTTGATGGAGATGGTTATTTATTACCTGCTTCAAGACAAAGCTTGCCCTCTTCATAATTGTCTGCCCCATCATCCAAGGAAGATGAAAAGAGACAGAATAATTTCACTTGGAGCAGGGTCAGAACAGCAGCATCATCTTCAAGCAAACTTCAGACTCACACAGAACATGAACACCACCAACTCTGCTCTTTCAGAACATTTAACCACAGGTACTTTTTGCTTGCTTTGTTCTAGAAAAGATTTCACCCCATGGAGGTTCCCATAAGACAAAGACAGAGAAGATAGCTGAAAAAAATTCAATACTAAAGGAGTGTCAGATTAACAATTTAAAAGCAACCCCTGGCCACAACCCACTGGTTTTAATTTGTTAAAGTTTTGTTAAACACTGATAAAAAGACCACAGATGGCTCACAGCAGAACTCCAAATGGCAAGTTTAGTGTAAAGGAAAGGTCAGTACAGTCAGTGATCCACAGCTGAAGGTAAATATGCACAGTAACCTCTTCATTATGCACTTCTTCCTTATGCAGTAAACATCCACATAATAGATTTCACTCCCTATTTCATTTGCATCCTGTCTCTCACACAGGACCAGATGAACTTCAGTCCAAGTGGGATCATGAAAATCACAAACAGGTTGCAGCTCAAGATGAGATGCAAAGTTAATTTCAGAGTTTCCACGTCAATTCATGGTAAGCTAAACCATTTCCATACATTTGCAGGCTGTAAGAAAAGGCTCTTCAGTCACCAGGATTTCTTCCAAACCAAAGCCACCAGCAGCAGGTCACTGGACAGAAAGAACTGGGCAGCAAATGGTGCCCAAAGCCCTTTGGAATATCCCTCAGCTAAGGATGCACATGGAATCACTCTGCAAGGAGCAAGCTCAGTCACATCTGCTGGATGCAAACACCCATCTGACTGTCACACTGCTCCTGGGGGCAGCTCTGCAGCTCCTGCAGCCTGATCTGGCTAATTACTGAGCACTTGGGGCTCCTCCTGGCTGGGGCTTTCTGGACTCAGCTCACTCACCTCCTCAGGACAAGAGGACTCTCTCCTCAGCTTTCCAGGTGTGCCCTTCCCAGGGTTTTTCCTCAAATGGCTCATGGGGTGGGGGTCGGGCTCTGCTCCCAGGGAACAGGGACAGGAGGAGAGGGAACGGCCTCAGGCTGGCCCAGGTGGGACAGCAGCAGGAATTTCCCCATGGAAAGGGAGCTCAGGACCTGGAACTGCCCAGGGGGGTTTGGAGTGCCCATCCCTGGAGTGCCCAAGGAATTCCTGATCACTCAGAGCTCTGGGCTGGGGACAAGGTGGGGACTGGGCACAGCCTGGACTCAGTGGTCTGGGAGGGCTTCTCCAACCTGAATTATCCTATGATTGTCTAATAAAAATAACACATCAATTTTCAGTTCTATACTGGGAAGGGAATCCTGCTAAAATTAGTCACAGATAAACTAGACAAACAACAGAGGACACTCTTTAAACAACAAAAACATGAAGCAAAACAAAAGCAATCCTTGCTTTAAAAGCAGCTGTGCAAATACAACCCTTAAAAATGCTGTAAGAATTGGAAGTGCAGTGATGGATTTCATCATCTACTGTTGTCTGCAGGGAACTCACCTTCAAACTGCCAAAGTGCTGCTGACTCAGTCTCCTCCTTGGCAAGAACCTAAGGCAGGGCTGCAGGGACAGAGTTAACAGGGCTGTGCAGGATGAGCACAAGCTCACCCAGCCCCAGACTTGGGAGGCAACGAGGGGAAAGAAAGAGAAAAAAAAATTGTCTAGAATTTCTTGTGCAAATAATTTGGTTTTAAAAAGCTTTGCCCCAGGCTGTAAAGCCAAAGCCCTGTGACAGCATCGTGGGGCAGACATTGGGAGCTGCTCTGTGTCAGCTCTTCTTGAAGCATCCTAGGAAGGGAAAAACTTCTTGGCTCTCACTGCTGTACAGAGGGTGAGCCAGACTCTTCACCACTGCTGAGAGCAAGGCAACTTGAGGATGGCAATATTAAAAGAAAAAACCAAAACCACAAACAAAACCAAAAAAAACTCCACTGAATGCTCCCCTCCCATGCCTCAGTATGAATTTTAAAATAGGAGGTTTGGAGAAGCTTTGGCAGCAGGCAGAGATTAAGTAAATAATCACTGTGTGGGAACACAAGCTTTCCAATTTACCAAGTGCACTGTGGAGCTCAAGAGATCCCATACAGAGAAGTAATACAAATTAATTCAATAATGAGATGTTTTACTATTTACTTGGCTTATTTAATTGAGTAGGGGAGGAATCTTAAATATCAGGTTCAAGGCTTTTAAAGAAGGTATCAGTATGACAAAGGGAAGTGAAGGAACCAAAACACAGAGAGTT